AATATGCGTTTTTGCTGGCTGTAGCAGCGCTATAGCGCTGCACAGCAAAAACGCATAAAAACTGAAATTTTTTATTGTCTGCGTAAAAAAGAATTTATCTGTTAAGTCTTGTTGTATACGTATTTCTTATTGTATAAGCATTTGCTGCAACAATAAGGATGTTATATTGTGTGATAACTTTCCTTCAAATATATATATGTTTAGGATATATCTGACGGGGGATCAATAAACTCAAATATGCGCAGGATAAATTAAATGCCACCTACACATATCATGGAACACGGATTAAACGTATGCAATATTACGGGCTAACCTTTGAACTGACCGCTAATCTGTACAGCTGCTTGATGGAACGCTTCCAATTCATAATTTAATGCCTTGATGAGCTCCAGCGACCCATTACCATGTATTCGTAAATAATCCGTTGTCAACGGTGCAAGTGGTATTTTTTCGTCCGGGTCAAGTGGTATTTGCTGAAAGTTTTTTTACGGCTGCTTGAGAACCGCAGGAGACGTTTTCACAGCACACCGGCACAGTCATGTGCAGATTTTTTAATTGTAGCAATTCTTCAGAAGTATCAAAATCAACGGTTGCGGACTGATCTAAAAATCTTGAACATAATGAAAAGCGACTTCGGCTTCATTCCTTAGCTGCAAACACAGACAGAGCAGGGTATGCAAACAGAAGTGGAAATCATCAGTACAGTCCCTTGCCGTGCATTATGAGTGTGTTTTTGATCACTCAAGACAAGATAGGGGAGATTTTAAAGTTTTTTCGAAAACGAACTTTCTTCAGCAGTCCAAGCGGGTGAGATTCTTTTAATGTGAGCACAATATCGTTGCCGAGATCTCGCTTGGTTCTTCTCGACCGTACTTTTAATATGTCAGATTTCTGTGGATTTGTGGAGTTTTTCGATTGCGATTGTTTGAACTGACGCTTTGGGTCGATCCGTGGGCCAACCAGAATCCTTACATTAGCACGAGCTTCCTTCAAATAAACAGTAACTCAAAGATTGCAAGTTCATGAAAAACTTTAAAAAATTGGCACCTATGCCAGTCTATCTGCTAACACCATCATTTTTATAAATGTAAGAGCTAAGAAATTTAGATGGCACTTCTACAATGCACTTTTTTGTACTTTTTCGGAAGCATTCCTCAAATTTAATAAATTTCAGATTTTTAAATTTATTTCCTGCGAAAGATTTTGAAATTTTGCATTTCCGCAATTTTGGATTTCTCCATGTATTTTTAAAATTTTTAACTTTTTTTAACTCCGGAAAAAAAAATTGAAGTTTTGCTTCTCTGCAATTTTGATGGCAAATCCAGGAAACTGTTTCTCCAGCAGTGGATCCCTCCAGCAAATAGGAGTTAAAGAAAATGCATTTTCCAGCTCTTGCTTACCCGAGCAAGCGAATCCGTAGCAACAACATTAAAGAAATAGCGACCATTTGGGACACCGTAACGACTGAACACATCACCGGAAAATGGCGTAACATCAAATGGAACATTTTCCGGTTCTATCCTATAAATCACTGCGCCTTTCGAAGCCCTGAAAAAAAGTTTCATCAATGAGAAATTGATTGCACAAATTGCTCTTACTAATAAAAGGCTGATGAAAAAAGCAAAATTCTTCTGAAAAAAAGTTTTTTTTGCAAAGCTTCTTTGCGGTTTTTTGCATTTTTTTATTAATGATTTT